GATCCTACACTTGAATGTTCAGTGCCAAGTGCAGAACTTCTAGAAGACGCCAGAGGAAGCAGGGCTATGAGATCTAATTTGCCTTCCCTGGTGACAGTAAAAACAGCGCATACCTGCGCCCTGCAACAAACTGCACGCAAGATGAAAGGGTTCGCGCTTCCCATGCTCTGCACAGGCACACCCCAGGAAGCCACGTAATTAGGGTGTCCGCTGATTCCCCGCCTAGCTCCCGGAAGTGGCATAGCCCGAGTGTGACCTCACAGTGTTTGGTGGCCGTTTCCTACAGCTCTGGGAGGACACCACACCGGTTCCCACAGATTCTCCCCGCGAGGGGGCGGCGCCTTTTAGTCACCGTGGCCGGGTTCCGAGCTCCTCCAGCGCTCTTCACAGCGGGTCACAGCCCAACATACGGAACACTAGAATCTCCCTCAGTCCTGGAGCCGCCGGAGCCTAAAGCATGAAGGACCGGAAGTACTCGCCCCCCATTCTGATTTGCTGTCCATCTAGAGGCCGTCATTCCTGAGTGACAAGGATCTCCCTTAGCGACAGCGTGCAGGGAAGAGACGCCTCACTGTCGTTCCCAACTGTCCCAGGCCGGCAGAGAACTGATATTGTATCAGAACTTGCACCTGGACAGCAAAGTCGTCCCTAAACGTTTCCTGCACTCAGTAGGCAATTCTCTATCTGTGCACAGGGTCTCTAGCATATGAAGATCACTAAACAATGTGCCGTGGAGCGATCCCCCTGCTTCACAGCTAAAAGAGCTTCCAGTCCACCCAGGTCAAATACAAACCACCTCATTGATGTTCACCGGGCACCAGCAATTTTAATAAAGCACACCTAGGAGTGCTTATTAACTTGGGGGCTCACACCTCTCTCGGCTGCACACTGCTATCCAAAACACAATTTTCCAGTTTTCTTTGGTGGCACTGGCCCATCATGCTGGCATTTGGGAGGTGGAGACAGGACATGGAAAGGCTAAGTCAGCTTGGTCTATGACCTAAAACACAGAAATTAGGGACCCCAAAGGGGTGATGTCCAGAGTGACGACCTGTGATAAGAAGATAAAGATAGAAAGTTATGGAGTGGTAGATACTGTGTAAGCTGGTGGCTCATGCCAAGCAAGTTTATTAAATACAACTCTGGTACACTTTCTGCAGTAGGGAATCAACCAGGGTCAGCAGAAACCTAATTCAGCAATGCTGGTAAGAAGACCACAGCTTACCTCAGGCTGAACACATGGTAGTCTTGAGACTACAACCACAGCCCCTCAGGCTAGAGTCTGGTTCCCTCAATCCCTTCCAGACAGTGGCTCAAATACCAGAACAGACTTTGGCCAACATACAGAACTAGTGTTCTCTTGGGCACTTTTATCAGGGGCCTCAGAAAAGGCCTTGGATTGAATTGACTCCCAAAAGGCCCACCTCCAACCTCAACAAACAAATATATATATATAAATGGAACATTGCTTTTGTGGAAGAGTTGTATCCTGTGTCCTGCTTTCAGGTCTTCCACTGAAGCTTTTTGTTGTTTCTTTGGGGTTTGGGTTTGGTTTGGTTTTTCAAGTCAGGGTTTCTCTGTGTAGTCCTGGCTGTCCTGGAACTCACTCTGTAGACCAGGCTGGACTCCAACTCAGAGATCCACCTGCCTCTGCCTCTAGAGTGCTGGGATTAAAGGTGTGTGCCACCACCACCCAGCCCACTGAAGTTTCTCCACACTAACACTTGAATGGCATGGTCAGTCTGGACTACTCATTTGTACCTGAACTTGGAAAATGCTGATTATAGAACGACTGGATGCTGGGGGCACAGAGGTGTAGCAGGCTTTCTTTTGGACCACCAACCAGCTCCCAGATCATTACATAGAGACTTATTATTAGTTCTGAATGCTCAGCCTTATGTTTGTCCTACTAGCTCTTATAATTAATTTAACTTGTCAGGACTTTTTACCCTTCTTTCATCCTGTATGTCCCACTTTCACTGCTTCCTCAGTGGCTGGCTGGCCATGGGAATCTCCCTCTCTTCCTCCCTCCTCACTTCTCTCTCTTCTCTGGTTCTCTCAACTCTGCCTGTGTCCCCTACCAACTCACTGCAAGAACAAGGACACACATGACATTCTCAGTCAGATCCCGCAGATGCAGCACTTGCAGGTTCAGGGTTGCTGAGGACACAGCTCAGCAATTCAATCTCTATTCTTCACTTCTGCAAGCTGATGCCCCTGGGACAACCTTCCCCAGGTTCCAGGGTAATGAACTAGGGGCCCAGCTTGGAACTTTACTGTCTTAATCAAGGTTTCTATTGCTGCAACAAAACACCAACCAAAAAGCAACTTGGGGAGAAAAGGGTTTATTTAACTTACACTTCCAGATCATTTTCCATCATTGGAGGAAGTCAGGACAGGATGTAATGGATTAAACAAAAATGCTGCAGATCCCTGGTGGAGTCAGACAACAAACGTCTGGTCCCGAGAGCAGCCAGTCCCAGGCAGGGATGGCATAGCTCCCCAAGTGGCTGCAGTGGGCCACAAGTCCCAGGCAGGAGGCCACATGGTGGGTGTGAAACCTCAATGGGGCAGCCAGTCTCACAAGGAGAGACAGACGAGCATGCCATGAGACCACACCACAGGTCTCCAAAGGTGGCTGGTCCCAACAGGAGCCACGAGGTGGGCGAGAGACAGACACATGGATTAGCACACCATGCAGAGAGAGGATGGATATTTACTTAATGTGTTATGGAAGGAAAGGGAAAGGGAAAAGGGAGAAGAGCAGAGAGGGCAAAGAAATATAGAGAGACAGAGACAGAGAGACAGAGGGGGGAAGGGGAGAAGTGAGAAGAATGTAGGGGAAATGGGGAGAAGCTGCCTTTTCGGGGGAGAGACAGAAAAGGAAGGGACTCAGTCTGGAAGCTGAAGATCAGCTTGCCTTGACTGATGGAGGGGAGAGGGGCTTGTCTCTTAAAGGAACAGGACAGATCATTACACACGAACCAGGAACTCACACAGGGGAGGAACCTGGAGGCAAGAGCTGATGCAGAGGCCATGGAGGGTGCTACTTACTCCCATGGTTTACTCAACCTGCTTTTTTTTATTTTTTTTTAATCAGGAATGTGTTCCTTAGAGAACCACTCTTCTTTTTTTTTTTTTTTTTTTTTTTTTTTAAATATTTATTTATTTATTATGTAGACAATATTCTGTCTGTGTGCATGTCTGCAGGCCAGAAGAGGGCACCAGACCTCTTTACAGATGGTTGTGAGCCACCATGTGGTTGCTGGGAATTGAACTCAGGACCTTTGGAAGAACAGGCAATGCTCTTAACCACTGAGCCATCTCTCCAGCCCGAGAACCACTCTTCTATCTATCTATTTATTTTATTTATTTATTTATTTATTATGTATACAATATTCTGTCTGTGTGTATGCCTGAAGGCCAGAAGAGGGCACCAGACCTAATTACAGACGGTTGTGAGCCACCATGTGGTTGCTGGGAATTGAACTCAGGACCTTTGGAAGAGCAGACAATGCTCTTAACCACTGAGCCATCTCTCCAGCTCCTCAACCTGCTTTCTTACAGGACTCCAGATCACCCGCCCAGGGATGGCATCATTCAGTGGATTGGATCCTCCCTCATTGATCACTAATTGAGAAAATATCTTACAGCTGGATCTCAAGGAGGCATTTCCTCAACTGAAGCACCTTCCTCTATGATGACTTTAGCTTGTGTCAAGTTGACATACAAAGCCAGCCAGTCCAACTGACCCCATGTCAACTTGACACAAATATATCACTATTAAGCCACAACCTTTCCTTTCTGATTCATCCCCAAGTTCTCACATTAAAAACATAAATAACTTGGGCCGAGCGGTGGTGGCCCACGCCTTTAATCCCAGCACTCAGGAAGCGAAGGCAGGTGGATCTCTGTGAATTCAAGGCCAGCCTGGTCTACATAGTGAGTTCTAGGACAGGCTCCAAAGCTACAGAGAAACCTTGTCTAGAAAGAAAAAGAAAGAAAGAAAGAAAGAAAGAAAGAAAGAAAGAAAGAATTAATTTAAAAAGCCAAAAAGCCAGGCTCCAAAGCTACAGAGTGTCTCAAACTGTCTCAAAAAAAGAAATCAAAACAAATAAATAGTGAATAAAAGGCCCAGGCTGGATTCTTCTGTTCTCCATCTTTTCAGAACTTTGTTCATCTTGGTGGGTTTTAATTTTATTTTGTTTTGCTTTGTTTTGTTGTTGTGGTAGTGGTGGTGGTGGTGGTGGTGGTGTGTGTGTGTCTGTATCTGTGTGAATTGAATTCAGAACCCTATGCCCTAATCTTTTTTCATTTTAAGGTGGAGGTCTCCCTGTGTACCTCAGGCTAGAGTTAAAATCACAGATATCCCCCTGTCTCAGCTGTCACGAGCTGGGAATGATGGGTGGCAATAGTCATGCCTTAATTTCCATTTTTCTTCATCACTTTCCAGCAAGGCCCCCGCTCCTGTCTCTCCCCATTTCTGGGCAAATCCCCTGAATCCCCCAGAGACTCTGGGTTCTCTTGGTGCTGAAGATGGGGGTGTGGCCTGGAATTCCCGGGGACACCAGCTTGTCCTGGGGGTTTCCTTGGGTGTCCTGAACACTTCAGAATGTTCCCGGGCTAGGGAACCTGGGGGTAGCAGCTGCTCCCTGTTGTCTGGGGCCTGACACAGTTTTGGGAAGATGTAGCTGGTAAGAGGGCCACCACCCCTGCACTTGGACCAGTCTCTGGGCCAGTGTCCCCTGTCTCTTTCGGTCCCTCTTTCTCTGTCTCTCTCCTCGTCTCTTAGTCTCTGTTTCTCTGCGTCTCTCCCGCTCCCCTCCGCGACCGGCAAGTACGCATCTGCCCTCTGCCTCACCCACCTTCCCGGGGCTTCCCCATCAGCAGGAAGTAAGGCCACCCAGTGACTTCTCCCTTTTGGGGCCCTCTCCCTGCCCCCACCTCAAGGCCTTTCACACTCACACACGGGGCAGTCAGTGAAAGAGTCTGGACTGTCACCATCGCCGCCGTCTCCTGCTCCGCTCCACACACTGGGCTACTGAGCTGCGCTGGGCAGATCCTCATCAGGACAAGGCTTCCAGGACAGGAAAGGTCCTTTGTCCCTTCTCCGGCGAGTCTGGAGAATAGAACCACACAGGCATGTCCCGGTGGCTCCTCCTGTCACTTGCCCTCTGGGCTAGCTGCTCCCCTGGCAATACAGGGACAGGTAGGTGGTCACACTGGGGACTAGGGCACCTGGGCCAAGGGGACCAGCCCTTCGCTTTCAGTCTTAGGTTATATCTGGAATCGGGTAGGAACTCACACCTATCTATTCCAGTGGGACCTGTTCCCATTCCGCTATAGGGATAGGGAAACTGAGGCACAGAGAGGCAAAGCCTTGTTTACCCAGGCAGAGGAACCCTTGAGCTTAGAGGTTTGGGGAGATCAACAGTTAACTCTCAGCAACCCTCAAGTGTCACCTTTGTTGCTCAAGTGTGGGTCTGAAACTCTCAGAGACGCTGGGCACGATAGTACACACCTGGCGCAGGGCACTCGCGAGGCTGAGGCAGGAAGCAGTGGAGTTCAAGGCCATTTGCAGTTACTAGTGAGTTAGAGGCCAGCCTAAAGCTGCAGAAGACCCGCCTTTTAAAAAAAAAAGAAGAAGAAGAAGAAGAAGAAGAAGGGGGGGAGCTGGACAGATGGCTCAGCGGTTAAGAGCACTGACTGCTATTCCCAGCACCCACATGGCAGCTCACAACTGTCTGTAGATCCAGTTCCAGGGGTTCTGACACCTTCATATAAAACATAAAATAAAGTTAAATAAACTATAAGAAATATTTTTTTTAGAAAAGGAAGGAAGGAAGGACGAGAGAGAGAAAGGAAGGAGGAAACTCAGTTTTCTCATCTAGAAAATGGGCTCTGTTGAGGCTCTGGGGGTTTGTAGTAGACGTAGGAGCTCATGCTTCCACACATGACAGAGACCTGCGAGGCTCCTGGAAGCTCACGTTCCTGTCTCTCCCGCCCTAGCTGCTCTGAGCCAGCCCAGGGTGCAATGCCACGCCTCTCGGTACCCTGTGGCCGTGGACTGCTCCTGGACGCCGTTGCGGGCTCCCAACTCCACCAGACCCACGTCCTTCATCGCCACTTACAGGTCAGAGAATGGAGAGGGGCCAGGACGACGAAGGGGAACTAACAGATTCCAATATTCCACTCCACTCGGGGTTGGAGGCAGCCTGGGATCCAAGGGAACCTGTCTCCGAAACAACAGAAGAAGTGTGGGATGTGGGTAATCTAGGGAGTTCTTCAGAACTCGGTGTCCCCCTGACCGTGTCCGGGTCCCACGATCTGCTGTGAGTAGACCGGGACCCCGCGGACACCTAGATGCCCTTTGCGACTCCCCACGGTGCTTCCCACGCAGGCTCGGTGTGGCCACCCAGCAGCAGAGCCAGCCCTGCCTACAGTCCACCCCCGAGGCTACGTGCTGCACCATCCCCCACGTGCACCTGTTCTCCACGGTGCCCTACGTGTTAAATGTCACTGCGCTTCATCCCAGCGGTGCCAGCAGCAGCCTTCTGGCCTTTGTGGCTGAGCGGATCAGTGAGTGTCTGTCCTTCCCACCTCTCTCAGTTCCCGCCCTCCACCATGCGCCCTCCCCACCCCCGCCCCCCCCCCCACGTCCTGCCAGGTACCTGCAACCTTCTCTACTCCAGCCTCACTGACTTTCTGTTGCCTCCCCAACACCCCAAACTCCATCCTATCCGAAGCGTTTGCATAGCTTCGTTGCTTGGCCTTCTTAGGTCACTGCTTGGGCGTCAGCTTCTCGGTGAGGCCCCCCAAAAGTATATTACTAAACATAAGTGACAATTGCCATGAAGGGAGGACGAAAGCCGGTGTGGTATACAGGGCTTTAATCCCAGAGGTAGGCCGATCTCTGAGAGTACGAGATAAATTGGAGTCAAGAACCCAACACCCTGATACTAACAAAAAAAGCAAAAAAAGGAAGGAAGGAAGGAAGGAAGGAAGGAAAAGGAAGGAAAGAAGGAAAAAAGGAAAGAAGGAAGAAAGGCCGGGCAGTGGTGGTGCATGCCTTAAATCCCAGCACTCAAGAGGCAGAGGCAGGGGGACCTCTATGAGTTCAAGACCAACCCAGTCTACAGAATGAGTTCCAGGACTGGCTCCATAGCTGAGAAACCCTGTCTGTTTCAGAGAAGGTCAGTGAAAGGCTACTCCACCCTCAAAGGATTAAACATGGAGTCTCCACTCCCAAATATTTGCTCAACAAAAATAAAAATGTTCATCCCTACAAATCCTTGACAACCTTACGCACGGCATCCAGAAGGGGGCAGCCCATGACACGTGTCCTCCTGTGGATGGATGGATGGATGGATGGATGGGTGGATGGATGGATAGGTGGATGGATGGATGGGTGGATGGATGGGTGGATGGATGGATGGGTGGATGGATGGTGGATGGGTGGGTGGGTGGGTGGGTGGATGGATGGATGGATGGATGGGCAGACACACAATATCCATCTACACAGGGGAACACCACTCAGCCCTGGAGAATGAGGCTCTGGAGCCAACTACAGTGAGGAGGGACCTTGAGGACACAGCGCTCAGTGAGCAACCCAGACACAAACCGCACAGCGTGGGCTCCAGAACAGGGGGATCCAGAGACAGATCTGTGGGTGCTGAAGGCAGGGGAGGGGTAGAGAGATGGCTTATGGGTGTAGAACTTGTGTTGGCATGAAGCAGCGTTCTGGGGGCAGGCAGAGAAATGGTATCCGATATCCTCCAGCTCAGTTCTGTAAGAATGGTGTCTCGGGAAAGCCCTTCAGCCCACTTGGGACTTACACTCTGAAACTCTCTCTTTGTCACGACTTCTGTCAGCAGGGCCAACGGTGATTCAACAAATGCTTGCTCCTTGCAAGATGGGTGAATGAATGCATGACTGACATGATTGCATAGTGGACAGATGACTTAATGAATGAGGGAATGAATGAACGCATGAATGATACAGTGAATGAGGGAAGGACTTAATGAGTGAGGAAATGAATACCTGAATGACCTAATGGTCTAATCAAAGCATGAATGAATGTACAAATGGATAAGTGAAGAAACTAATGGATTCAATGAATGAATGACAGTGGACGAGTTAATGAATCGATGAATACATCTGCACGTGAACCAAGCAATAAGTAAGTGTGAGTGAGCAGGTGGTTAAGCAAGCTAAGGAATTAGTGAAGGTCTAAATGAACAAGTGAAGGAACGAACTGATGGGATGAATGGGCTCTAAAGGCGCGAGCCAGCGTGTGAATGAATGAAGGAGGAAACCAGTGGAGCCGCTTCTGACCCCGCCCCCCTGCTCCCCGCAGTCAAGCCCGACCCCCCGGAAGGCGTGCGTCTGCGCAAAGCGGGGCAGCTGCTGCAGGTGCTCTGGCATCCCCCTGCCTCCTGGCCCTTCCCGAACATCTTCTCTCTCAAGTACCGCGTCCGCTACCGGCGCCACGGTGCCTCTCACTTCCGCCAGGTGAGAGGGGGTTTGGGAGAGGGTGAGACAGGGTTCCCCTGGACATCCTCCGGTCTCCACCTCCTGCCTCTCTGTAGGAGCGCTGAGATCACGTGACTCTGCAGCTGGTTTACAAGAGTTCTGGGGTTTCGAACTCACCGCCAGCGCTTTACCCAGGTTTACCCCAGCTCCCAGTACAGCGCGGTCCTACCCACCGCCTCGTCCTCGCTCCCTGCAGGTGGGACCCATTGAAGCCACGACCTTCACCTTCAGGGCGGCGAAGTCCCACGCCAAGTACTGTGTCCAGGTGTCAGCCCAGGATCTCACGGACTATGGGAAACCAAGTGACTGGAGCCTCCCTGGGCAAGCAGAGGGGATGCCCCAGAAATCCTTGAAGAGGGACTAGGTCTTTGATAGCAGACCCTAATGTCGTCTACTTCAAAGTGTCTGGGTGGCCTGGCATGGCCTGGGTTCGAGTCCTAACTTTGCACATGCCGAGATCCTCGGCGCATTGACTTGACCTCTCCGGACATCAATTTCCAAATCTGTGGGGATGTTATTTCTCCTTACATCAGTTCCGTGCTTTATAAACTGTAAATGTGATTTGATTAGATATTTTGATTAAATAAGAATTATTAGCCTGGCAATGGTGGCGCACACCTTTAATCCAAGCACTTGGAAGGCAGAGGCAGGTGGATCAATATGAGTTCGAGGTCAATCTGGTCTATAGAGCAAGTTCCGGACAGCCAGGGCTACACAGAGAAACCCTGTCTCGAAAAACCCCAAAACAAAACAAAATTATTATTATTATTATGGGGAATGGAGGAGTTCGAGACAGGACTTCTTCATGTAGGCCTGGCTGTCCTAGACCAGGCTGGCCTCGAACTCACAGACATCTTCCTGTCTCTGCCTCCCGAGGGCTGAGATTAAAGACATACGCCACCACCGCCTGACAAGAATTATTAAAACTGTCCATTTTTAAAATTTAAGTATTTTAATTTCATTTCTAAATATGTGTATGTGGGGAGTACGGCAGTGCCCACGGCGGTCAGAAGAGGGCGCCAGAACACTGAGCCTCCTCTCCAGCCGCTTGTCCGCTGAGTGAGCAACGTGAATGTCTGTTTGTCTACAACCGCAAAACAAGGGCTTCATGACGAAAAGAAGCTGATGTGGCTCAAGGTTCAGGAGCCTTGGAGGACACAGCACTGTGCTAGCTCCAAGAAGAAATTTCACGTGGTACAGTGTCTAAAGGTGGAAGGGTCGGGGAGCGCGCGGGTGAGAGAAAGGGAGCGGATAAAGCAAGGTGTAAGGTCCGGGTTCCTATCATCGGCGCTGAAAAAGAACAAACACACCATAGCACTTGTTTTCCCAACTGGGAGCCAAACAGGATGCAGCCCGGCCTTGTCGAAATGAGGACAGAGGGAAAGAACGGTGGGGAGCTAAAGGTCAGCCTGGAAACTCTGTCCCAAGAAGAATAAGGAGGAAAAGGAGTAGGAGGGCTGGGGGCGTGGTTCAGGGGGCTGCCCCTGCCTAGGATCCCAGGTGAGGAGCTTGCCATCGTTTTGCACAAATAATAACTAAGCAAACGCCTTTAACCCTAGCACTCGGAAGGCAGAGTCAGCTGGATTACTGAGATTTCAAGGACAGCCTGGTGAGTGTCTGTCTCACAAAAGAGAGAAAAAAGAGAGAGAAAAAACACAAACCAACAACAGCAAAACAAGAAAAATCAAGCAGGCCACTGATTTCCTGAGACTTGCAGGACTTGCAGGAAGACTGTTGCAAACTTAAGGCCCTCTGGACATTTTAGGGAGAGGCTGGGTAGTAAGTGACTCAGTGGTAGAGTGACTGCCAGGCTTGTGCAAAGAGGAAGGGAGGAAAGGAGTCAGGGAGGAAGGAAAGAAGAAAGGAGGGAAGGAAGGAAGAAATAAACAGAACGGGGAGGTAGCACAGCCTTTAATCCCAGCACTCGGGAGGCAGAGGCAGTCGGATCTCTGTGAGTTCCTGACCAGCCAGGGCTACACGGTGAGACCCAGAATCAAATACAAACAACATCAATAGAGCAGAAACGCGGAACAAAACTTTATTGACTCTTTCCAGCGTGGCGCACACGCACACACGCGAGCCAGATGCTCCCGGAACTTTTATTTACTGCCGCACCTACAGGCACTCAGGAAAGGAACAAAAGCGCACACGGGCCCTTGATCGACAGGTACCACAGCCAATGAGAACGCTAAAACCTATGACCTACGTCAGTAAGCCAGCCGAGGAAGTGACGTCAAGAGAACTGCGGCGCCTGGCCGAATAAACTCCGAAGGAACCGAAGAACACTGCTCCTTCGCTTGCTCGACGAACAGGAAGCGAATATGTCGGAACGGAAAGTGCTAAACGTAAGTGCTCGGAGTCTAGATGGCTCTGCCGCCAGTGGGACGTCCGAGGACTGCGGGAGAGGCTCACTTCCTTCCGGCTAGTTCCTTTAGGAATCCCCCCCCACCAACGGCTTTCCGTGGGGCGGAGCCTCCCAAGCTTTGCCAATCGCATTTCTCAGGGGCGGTGTTAGCGTATGTTTCCCTTCCGGTTTAGAAGACGTCAATCATCCCCAGGCGAGCGGAGCCTGGGTCACTTCATCAGATGGGTTTTCCACGGGAAACTATCCAGTTGCTTTTTCCGGACCGTTAGGGGTGGTGCTCTTGGTGGCCTCAGTTCGTCCCAGTTTCTGTTAAGCGAATATCAGACAGCTCTTGGCCGCGTTTTCTACTCTAGTTTCAGTGGCTGAGACACAAGGACTCAAGTTTCCTCTCTTCAAAAACTTTTACTTTCCATTTCCTGAAATTTTGTGTTTGAGTCAGGGCCTCACTCTGTAGCCCAGAGTGGCCTCTGGTTCAACCCACCTGCCTGAGCCTCCCGATTGCTGGGGTAGAGGCGTATACCCCTGCGCTGGGCTGTATATATTTTTAAAAGATGTGTTTTTATCTTTTGCCTACATGTCTGTCTGTGCACTACGGGCGTGCGTGCAGCTCCTAGCCTGACTGGGCTGGGATGACTGGCAAACACTACCACCAGGCCCGAGTCCTCCTGAACTCTTGGCAAAGCTCCCTTCAAGCAAGGGAGACAACTCCCTCCCCCATGGACCTGGCTGCCAGCAGGTCTGGTGTCCAAAGCAGACTGCCTCCTTGCTGGTGGTTCACACAGTTTTGGACTTTTGGTTTTTTGAGACAGAGTTTCTCTGTGCAACAGCCCTAGCTGTCCTGGAACTCACTCTGTAGACCAGGCTGGCCTCAAACTCACAGAGATCCACCTGCCTTTGCCTCCTGAGTGCTGGAATTAAAGGCATGCGCCACCTCCGCCGCCTGGCCTCTTTTTTACTTTTTTTACAGGGGAGTTTGTCATTCTCCACCCCTGTCTCCCACTGGCAGGTGCTGGGATGGCAGGTGTGGGCATTAGCATGCTCTTGATAACTCAGAGTGGTTGTGCCTGTGTGTCTCACCCCAGCCTCCCAAGTACACAGAGAAGAATTCACTGACCAGGTTTTACCCTGAGATGGTGTCCGAGAACCGGTGTGGTTCCCTAGTCCAAACTAGACCATCATCGGCAATGCCTGATTTATATTGGGTCCCTGTTATCTCATGAGCATCTAGAGTCCTATGTGCTGGGCAGAAGGGGTCCACCCCCACTGCAAATCATTAGCCTCTAGAACCTTCCCTGCAAGGCATGTCACAGCTCTGGGGAGCAACATTCTCACACCCTGTGATTTGTCTGAAAAGAAGGTTCTGGAAGCTTGTACGTTCCTCTCTTCTCATGGCTGTTCTTCAAATGGCCCATGTCTGGGAAGGCACGAGCAGAATGAATCCTGGGCAGATCCCTAAAACTGGGATATGGTGGGTCCCCTGACGTGGCTCCCAGACCCCCTTTCCGCCCACATGGGCCCTGAGTGCTGGAAAACCCCATCACTCCCTTCCCCTGCAGAAATACTACCCACCTGACTTCGACCCGTCAAAGATCCCGAAACTCAAGCTACCCAAGGACCGGCAGTACGTGGTTCGACTGATGGCCCCCTTCAACATGAGGTGAATCCCCGGGGGTGTGAGGCCAGGGCTGGAGACTGTGGAGAAACAGCAAACATCCTCATGGGGTCCCCATCCACCCATCAGAAGGCCTCACTGGACAGTCAGTGACACCTGGCCCCTCCAGTGACAGCCCTCTTCCTGCCCCAGGGTCTTTGAGCAGCCGTGGTCTCTGCAGTTCTCATGTCAATGGCTCCTGTCCTCCTCATCCCAGACAGGCTGCCAACCTTCCCCTGCTTTCCTGGTTCTTCCAGCTCAGAATCAAACAACCTTCAAACTTGACTTTGTGTGAGACCCATACTCCCAGTAGTCACACCCTCATGGTCACTGAGGACAGAGCAGCTGCCGTGTTAGCTGGCTGATCGTAGATCCTCCTCTTTCCTTCATCTCCGCCTGTCCTAGTTACCTTGAACGTGGGGACTCGTTGGTTTGTGTGGTTTTGGTTTTTTGTTTTGTTTCATTTTTGGAGACAGGGTTTCTCTGTGTCGCTTTGGAACCTGTCTTGGAACTTGCTCTGTAGACCAGGCTGGCCTCAAACTCACTCCTGCCTCTGCCTCCCAAGTGCTGGGATTAAAGGCCTGTGCTGCCACCACCAGCACCACCCAGCAAACACATGAACTCTTAGAAAAGAAAGCGTTTAATTGGCACTCACAGTTTCAGAGGCTTAGTCCATCATCGTGGGGACTTGGTGGCAGGCCTGGCAGGATGTGCTGAAGAAGTAGTTGGAAGCCACATCCTAATCCACAGGCAAAGAGAAACACTGGGCCTGCCATGGACTTTTGAAACCTCACATCCCAACCCCAGTGACATACTTCCCCCAACAAGGCTATACCTCCTAATCCTTCTGATCCTTCCAATCCTTCCAAGTAGTGCCACTCCCTGGTGACTAAGCCTTCCAATGTGTGACATTCAAACCACCACATCCCTCCAGCAAGCAGTTGTCAGGCACCTGCTGTTGATCAGGATGTGCCCAGCCTCGTGGTGCTCACAGGCTAGTGGGGAGTGGAAATGATGCCCATCCTCTGGTAGTTACACAAGGACACATGAGACAGGGTAGGTGGCCTGCCTGCTGGACATTCAGGGGTTGTTAGAATCTCAGTCCGTGGGATCTGCCCTGGCGTAGGACCAAGCCAGAGGTGTTTGTCAGCACGGCAAGAAGGAAAGAAGGTCAGGGCACAGGATCCTGCTGTTCCCTCTTTGTTCAGAGTCTCAGAAGCCCCACACACCCAGACACTGCAGTCCTCCCTGCCCATGGAGGTGCTTGTGCTGCAGTCAGGTGCTGGAGCAGAGTGCAGAGACACTCACACACCTGCTCTGGCCACAGGTGTAAGACATGTGGAGAATACATCTACAAGGGGAAGAAGTTCAATGCACGCAAGGAGACCGTCCAGAACGAGGCCTACCTGGGCCTGCCTATCTTCCGCTTCTATATCAAGTGCACGCGCTGTTTGGCCGAGATCACCTTCAAGGTAGGGGCTCCCTTCACTCGTGCACCTTTCTCTCTAAGGACTCCCCACATAGGTGCAGATGGAAGGTGCTTGCAGTAGGACCACACACAGACAACCCTGCCCGCCTGCGTGTGCAGATGCGGGGTCGGGTGCACAGGTGAGGACTGTGGGGTCACACTGTGCAGATATGGGGTCGGGTGCACAGGTGAGGACTGTGGGGTCACACTGCAGATGTGGGGTCCGGTGCACAGGTGAGGACTGTGGGGTCGGGTGCACAGGTGAGGACTGTGGGGTCACCTGTGCGGATGTGGGGTCGGGTGCACAGGTGAGGACTGTGGGGTCACACTGCAGATGTGGGGTCCGGTGCACAGGTGAGGACTGTGGGGTCACCTGTGCGGATGTGGGGTCGGGTGCACAGGTGAGGAC